GGCTAATTGCATCACCGTGTACTAATTTGTATAGATATTTGATCAGCGGGTAAAAATAATAACGCAAACAAAATATGCAATTGCATAAAAATCCGGGCTTTGTTTATTAGAGATCAGAACATCATAATAAAAAGGGTAGTTATGGAGAACACAGCCAACCATATGGTAACAAGATCACATCACACTGTCTATGGAAATCCAAAGCCGTAATATATGCCAAAGCCGTAATAGCCGAATCTACTTGAAAATATATGATAGCGACCCCTCTTCACACCTTCATTTTAAATATATTTAAGCATAATATTCATTCTATATTAAATGCTGAATATTGAAATAGTTTGATAATTGATAAAAATAAATACAGTATTTATGGTCCTTATTCACAATAATCAGGATCCATACTTTTTTTTTTTTGAGCAAAATAACTACCAATAACAATAATTATGAAGATAGTAATAAAAAAAGTTGGTATTAAAAATAGGCCTTGGATTATTTTAGATAATTCATGTTGAAATGAATGCATATCCACTGATATAGACTCTTGATTGGTCCAGTGGTTTATCCAGCCTAAACTTAAAAGGTCCTATTGAGGAGAAAGGACCTTTGTGGCTACTTCTTGTGCAAGCTTAGTGAGCTGAAGTTTGAAAGGCATGATTAATTAAAGCAGTAATGGTTTTAACGACCACTAATTATCTCAATTAACACAAAACACAAAGAAAGAAGTCAATCATATGTTCAATTTACTCTGTAACCTTTCTTATCAGTTTCTGTATTATTATAATTTGTCCATTAATGAGTAGTCTTGTGATGTTACTTTAGGGGTTATAATTATAGTTAAAATTTATTTTTTAAAGACACTACATGAATTCCCATAAATATGCTTTTGTACATATTTGGCTACAAATACTTAAACTACTAAAAGGTAAATAAAGAGACCTGAAGTATTCCTTACTCTACCTTGAATCTTAGTAAAGGCTTGATTGCATTGGGTGAGTTTACAAGTTGTAGGAGACTAAAGAAGCAGGTGTGTCCGCAAGAGCAGTAATGGTTATAACACTAACTTTTAACTCAATCAATAGCCCATCAACTTTCATTATTTTGTTGATATTGGGAACCACTAAAAAAATCCAGAAACCACTGGGATAGTGGTAGCTTGTTCACTAATAATTATGATGAAACATGGCTAATTAATTTACTAGCTAAGAAGCCATGCCTGTGCCTGTGGTACATTAGCAAGTAAAGTAGTCAGGTTTTGAAATTTTATCACAGATTGTTTACAATCTACCAAAATTCGCTAGGGGAATGTAAGTAATTAAATTAGGTGGCTTAGATAGTGAATTTGCCAGCTAGTAGCTTGTATACTTTCCCAGTGTAATCGAGCCTTAAAAAGGAGTGGGTCATCAGTGGACCATTTCATCATGAACTTGTCAAGTATAACAAAAAGTTAAGGTGAATATAAACTATAAGTATAAGAATGTAAAACAAACATTTTTTTATGTGTCAGAGTTTCTTCCTTTGTTAAAAATTGGTTGCTTTATTGAAATACATTAAAGAAATTAAAATAAAATTTTTGAAAATATTTTGTTGTAAACATTTGATTCCTATATTGAATTCATGAGTTTTGTTGAAAATAATTCAAGACATCCAATGTTCCATAGATTAAAAAAAAATCATCCTTATTTTTACGAAAGTTTTCGATTCAGTTATTCACAATATTCTCCATTCAAAACTCCAAAATCTTTTTATATCAAATAGTGTTTTAAAGTGGTCCCTATCCTTTTTATCTCTTTGCTCGCAAATAGCTATTCCCAATAAACCTCCTTCCTCCTCTCTCCTACAAACTTGAAGTTTTCCTTAGGAATCATTACTCTCACCACCCTTTTCTCCATCCATATAATCTTCCTGATTCCATTCTTCCCTCACAATACCATCTGTATCCTGATGGTCTCCAAATTTACTTATCTTTCCATCTTACCAAGATAATTGAGGCGAACCAGAAGTCTACATAAAGATATAGACAGTATCAACGCATGGGCTGTAAATACTAATCTGAAGTTAAATATAGATAATGCCAAGCCATTCTCATTGGTTCTTACCATCTTCTTAATTCACTTTCTTATTATCCCTTACTATACTTTGTCATACATAGCTTTGTCAGAGGGACCCCGAGACATTCACATGTCTCCCAACATTACTCTCAGTTTCGGACTTCCCTTTTTCCTTCCTTCCGTAGACAATATTTCCTAGACACCTTTCTGTATCAGATTATCAACAGCCAAGGCCCCTCCTATACTTATGATCTTCTCCAATTCAAATCCTCCGTATCTTATCTTATCACAAGATCCCGACCTTCAGACTTTTATACTCCATTTCACTGATCTGCCTCTTTCCAAAACTCCTTCATTGCCCGCTATCTCTGTGATTCCCTCCCCTTTAAAAATCTGGCATGCCCCTCCTTATCCACCTTTAAAACCCTTCTATTCCAATTCCAATTCCTATTTAAAAACCAGTTAGAAAATGGCTAACAATATGTTAAGTTTCAATGCTTTGGTTTAAAAATCAATGTTTTATGTATATATATATTTTTGTTTTTTCTTATCATGAACTTGTTTATACATGTAAATGTACTTATTAACTTGTACACACATTTTTCATACCTTGTCGTTTCTGTTCTACAAGATTACTGTGCTATTAAAGTTGCTTAATTTATTTATTTTCTTACTATTGTTGTTATGAAAGTTAATTTTTACTAACATAAAATATCTTATCTTTATATCTTCATATTTTACCTTGTGTTAGTTATTTTCATTTTGTCCTCATCTACTAGACAAATTTATTTTTTATTTATTGTTTTTGTTGCTATCTTTTTTTTTTTTTAGTTCTTTTTATTATTTCTTTCTTTAGTTTTTAGCTAAACAGTGATTTATTTTGTTTGATTTCTTATTGTGTATAGTTCTAAGCATTTTGTATATAATTTCATCAGTTTGTTTTGTATATTTTGTTAGTTTACATAAGGTATTTCATTTATTTAATGTAACTCTTCTTATTTAATTTAGTTTTCTTGGCCAGAAGTATTGTTTTGTTCCGTAACATTTTGTTATTCTTAAGGGACTATGTCCCAGGGTAAAATTATTTTTCTATTCTATTTTATTCTGTACTTAATGGTTTGCCTATTTGCTTCCGTTAGAAATTTTGGCATAGTTTTCAATCAATACTTATCTTAGAAAAAACATTTTTCCCAAATTCGTCGAACATCTATTGCTGTCTTCAAATAGTTTTTAAGGTTCCATACCCATTAAAACCTGTTAACTCCTAATTTCCTCCCTCATTTTCTTCTACTTTGGTAATGGGTGCCTTGTATACGCTGGGCATGAGATGAGATTGAAAAGACTAATGAATTGTTTTATTTGATTTAAGTAGCCCTAGGATTCTGACATCAATATTTCTTAGCCCTCCCTATACCTTTACTGATCCTTTAAAACAAAAAAACCTGCACGACTTCCATCCTATTTCTCTCCTATCCAACCTCTCAAAGCCGTTAGAACGCCTTGTCCAAAATCAACTATCCAACTTCCTAGAGGAACTTTCCCTTATTATTAACCCATTCCAATCTGGCTTTTGACCTGGCTTCTCAACGCAATCCACTCTCCTTAAAATAACCCATGACCTCCAAAACTTCATTGAACACCAAAATCTTACTATCCTCATCCTTTTAGATTTTTCAAAAGCGTTTGACACAATTGACCATATCATCCTCCTTACTAAATTGCATAATATTCCTCTATCCAACAGTGTCCTGCGTTGGTTCAAAACGTTCCTTTCAAATCGGTCCCAGTATGTAGTAATCCCAGGCCAACCTTCATCTAAGACCCTTCCCCTCTCCTGTGGTGTCCCTCAAGGTTCCTCTCTATCTCCTACTCTGTTTGCTATTTATATTAATGACCTTCCCCTCATGATCCATTACTCCAAATACCATATCTATGCAGATGATTTCCAAATATACCTGTCCTTCCCGTCTTCCGACCTATTATATTCCACAGTAAAACTTCAAGAAGACTTGGATAGAATGTGTGACAGGGCGAGAGCTAACAAGTTGAAGTTGAATGCCGAAAAGACGAAGGCAATCCTAATAGGCTCGAATCACCTCCTTAAAACTGTTCCTAATATTCCAACTCTGTTCCTTCATGATAATTCTATCAAATTTTACCCCACCTTAAAAAACCTTGGAATAACCTTCGATCAAACCCTTTCCTGGAAAAACCATGTATCCAATACTTCCAGCCGTACTATTTCCACTCTAAAACATCTAAATTATTATCGTCACCTATTTCCATTTGAAACCCGCAGGCTCCTAGTCACTTCCTTAATTTTCCCCCACTTTGACTATTGCTGTTCAGTATATGGGGGCGTCTCTGGGGATCTCGAGGCGAAACTAAAATGTTTGATAAATTGCTTTGTACCGCCCCTCATACATCTCTGAGCTCCTTCAATTCAAATCCTCTGTTTGTTCACGCAATACTCGTTCCCGGTCTGCTGATTTATACATATCCAATCTTCATCTCTTTGGAACGCCATGCCTTCTTAAATTCGTCAATCCAATACGCTTCCTACCTTTAAATCCCGCCTGTTCAATCATTTCTTATCCATCCAGTTCCCATGAAATTGTAAATAAATATTAATGTAAATATGTATATAAATTATTAATTCGTTCTTCATTATTTTTACTTCATCCTTTATTTATTTATTTATAACAAGCACAAATTAGTAAACATACCAACTTTATTTATTTATAATTCTTTATTTTTATATATCTATTTGTGCTAATCTTTAATATTTTTTTATAATTCTATTATTCAATTATTTTGTAATTATTGTTTTATGCCAGACAAATAAAACTGTAATTGTACATATGCACTATTCTTAGTGGACGCATTGTCACAGAATAAAGTATATTTTCTTTCTTTCTAAATAATCCTGTTCATTATATTTTATCTTTTTAGAAATTTTGGTCTCAAAGAAATGCCAATTGAGTATAACGTTAATCCTCTTCATCGACAGTGTAATGAATTTATTATGACTGTTGGAAAACACACTGCACGGATTATTTGCAAAAATAAAAGAGAAGGAAAACAGAGGGCTTCTCAAGCTATTTTGCAGGTTATTATCAGTGAAAAATAAACTTTACTATATTTATTTAGGTGACAAATTATTATATTTAATAATAAAGAGTGTAATAACAGCAAATTTATTAATTAATAAAAAAAATCATTATAAATTATTAATTATGTTTAAAAATAAATATGGATTTTTTCTAAGCTAATAAAATACTTTTATATATTAAAAAATTCATGAAATATCTGATAAAATGTTAATTAAACTATTATTGTAGGACCTTCACCCACACATAACTAGTTGGGGTGCCCTTTTAAGGCTATATGGCAACCGTTCTGTGAGAAATGTTAAAGAAAAGAAACAAGAAGAACAAGAAATTACAATGCTACAGAGTAAAGCTTCTCTCAATTCTCCCAATTACTCTATTATTAACAAATTGAGGAGTGAAATGAATAAGCTTTATGAGCAGCAAGTATGAATTATTATTAAGTTATTATATAATGAATGGAAAGAAATTTTAACTTCCTATATCATATTTATTTTATCATATATTCATCATTGTTCCAATCTTCAGAACCTTAATCCTAATCATTTATAATTGTTGCAACAGATAATATTAAAACTAGATATTAATATAAAGTAATATAACATTTGTTTGTAATATTTGTTTAATTATCTATAAGATAATTATAATTAGAAGCATGTTGTATAAAAATTCTTTTCACATACTTATAATTTTCAGTTGTATTAATAGAAACTAGGTTATTGAGTAAATTAAATAATAACAATAGCTTTTACATAAAAAAAGGCTATACAAATTAAGGAAGTTTTTAAACACAGTGAAACAAGATAAGGATGAAAAAAAAAATTTCAGGAATTTCAGCCAATATTTTTATTGGATTAGCTGTCATATCGACCCAAACATGTGTTAGACAAGAACTCTCAAGTTCTTGTCTCGACTTCGAAACGATATCCCTGAGGATGACCCACATATTTGGTTTCGAAACGTCGGCTAACCCTATAAAAATATCGACTAAAATTCCTGACAATTTTGTTTCATCCTTGTAATTGATTAGTTGACTACTTACTCATATCTGAAATAAGAAGCGATAAAGTTGAAATAATTAGTAAGAACTTGCTATCCCTCATCACAAATATACAAATATATGATTGCTTAAGAAACATTGCAGCATAACAATTAAAGAAAGGTAATCTTTTTAGAAGGCATAGGAACTATTTTATATAAAATAATAAATATTATAAGCAATTATATGGATTATGTGGTGTTTATTAAACCCTTTGACTGCAGACTGGATACATGCCTTCCCATTAAAAGTTAGGTCATTGGTGCAGCCAGGATATATGCCTTCCCACCTGGGTGGTCACCACTTAAACAGGTAGGGGCAAGTCCCGCCTTCACCATTTGACTTGTGGCTTGATCGATGCATTCATTATTTCCCTGTAGCTGACTCAGTACTGTCGTTCCGGATTTTGATCATTTGGAAGCTATTAGTTGCATATTTATTTTGAACCCAAGGCATGTCCTCCTTGTGGAGTTTTGCCTTCTATTGAGACATTCATTGTTATACAGAGGCTTCAAGATGGATTGCTACGAGCTACATGCCCTGCCCATCTTATATTATCATATCATGGGATATTTATTGACCCTTTTCCGTAAGCAGTTCTTTATTGGTTTTTGTTCTCCATGTGTTAGCACTCTGATCCCAGATGTTTTGGTTATATAAGGTATATAAAAAAAAATATAACAGTTTCTCTCCAAAAAAAATTATTATTATGACATTTGGAATTCACTTTATTATCCCATCTTCAGACTAGAAACAAGAAATGTTTATGGTATTTGAATTTATATTTTTAAATGCATATATTTCTATAACTTATCATATCAATAACCTGTTGCAAATCTCACCCATTACTCATCTTTCCATCATTTAATTTATAAAAGATTTGTCGTAAATTTTATTTATTGTTGGTCATAAATATTAGTATTGTTGGAAGTAAAAAAATCTTTTATGGATTTTTGGCTAACTTTTATTTTGTTTTGGATTTTATTATGGAATACAGGTTCCAAGTTATGTTTGGTTACTATATTAACAGAAAGTTTTGGTGTAATTTCTTTTTTTTTTTTTTTTTTATTATTTTTATTTAATTTAAGTTTACTTAATATATTTTTCATTTCGATTGAATCCTTTACATCATAATTATTATTATTATTTAATTTATTTAGAGCACTATTTTAAAATTTAGATAATTTGATAGTTGGTCCTGATATATTATTTAAAATAGGTCTCAAATTTTTGTTTTATTTATTTGATTTGATAATAATGTGTATATGGGAGGTTATATAATTATCAGGTGTTAATTGATTTTAGTTAGTTTTGTTATGTATCCTTTTATATATAGCATTTCCAAGTCAATTTCAACTTTTCCCAAATCAAATTCAACCTTTTCCGAGTCAAATTAAACATTTTCCATTTCAAATTAAACCTTTTCCAATTTAAATTCAACCATTTCCATTTCAAATTAAACCTTTTCCAATTCAAATTCAACCGTTTCCATTTTATATTAATGCTTCCAATTTTTGTAAATTTTTGATTTTTTTAAAAATAAGGGCCATTCCCTCCTCCCTCCTCCAATATAAAGGACGATTATTATACTCCCCAAAGTAAAGTTTTTCAAAATACTATCGATTTTATATTACACTTACGGATATCGATTTATTGTACCTATTCGGATTTATTAGGGTCTTGTATTATGCCTCCACTTTAAGATTAGCCACTGCGTTTCGACTCATTTAAGTTTTTCAGATTTATTCAATATAAGGATGTATTCTTATGTTTCTGTAGCCTTAAATTTTGAAAATAACCTCCATTTTAAGATTATGTCACTGTGTTTCGACTTATTTAAGTTTTTCAGATTTATTCGATATAAGGGTGTATTCCTATGTTTCCGTAGCCGTACATTCTGAAAATAACCTCCATTTTAAGATTACACTACTGCGTTTTGACTTATTTAAGTTTTTCTAATTTATTCGATATAAGGGTCTACTTTTATGTTATCGGAGACGTAGTTTTTGAAAATGACCTCCATTTTACAATTATGCCACTGTGTTTTGGATTATAAAAGTTTTTTTGACTTATTCGGTATAAGTATCTACTTATATGTTATCGGGGACCTAGTATTTGAAATTTTTCTAATCTGTAATATTTTAATTTATCTATTATTTAATTTCTATTTTATCACGATTAAAATAGAAATATTATTCGCTGAGAGCGCTGTATCTCGATTAATTAAGCTTTATTTTGGATTTTTTCAATACAAAGTTTCATCAATATGTTTTCAAGTATGAATAAATAAATATTAAGAAGCTAAGGTTAAATTAATCACAAAACACAAAGTAAACAGCTGAAAAAGTAACTGGTAATAAATTTAACCAACCATATTCAGAGTTTGCCGCTAATTGTTCGAAATCTCATAATTATGTAAGATGAGACCACAACATTAAAAAATACAATTAAAATTAAATTAAAAATGAGACAAAAGATATTTTATTTATTTCTGTTGAAAAATAAATTAATCTTTCGTATTTTTTTTTTTTTATTCAAAAACTATGTCTCCGATAACATAAAAGTAGACCCTTATATCTAATAAATTAGAAAAACTTAAATAAGTCGAAACACAGTGGCCTAATCATAAAATGGAGATCATTTTGAAAATCTACAGCTTTGGAAACATAAGAATACATCCTTATATTGAATAAATCAGAAAAACTTAAATAAGTCGAAACGCGGTGGCGTAATCATAAAATGGGAGTCATTTTCAAAATTTATGCCCCCAGGAAACAGATGAAGTAGACCCTAATATCGAATAAATGAGAAGAACTTAAATAAATCGAAACAGAGTGGTGTAATCTTAAAATGGATGTTATTTTTAAAAACTACTCATAAGATAACTGACCCATACATCGAAACATTTAAAATAATTAAATAAATAAAAAAGGTTGAATATGAAATGGAAAAGGTTTAATTTGAAAGGAAAAGGTTGAATTTTACTTGGAAAAAGTTTAATTTGATTTGGAAAAGGTTGAATTTGACTTGGAAAAGGTTGAATTTGACTTGGAAATGTTATATATTGTATCTACGTATTCCTTGATTTCATTTGATAATTTCAGAGAGTTTCTGAAGCATAGAGCATGACTGGGCGGATTTGTGATTTATAGAGATGTAGCTTGTTATGCTGGTATATAAGACAAGAGGTGAATTCCTTGTGAAGGGTAAAGTAACACTTGTTAGTCATAAATATTCTTTTCTTGATCTCGACCTCGAGTGCATTGTCTTGTGTTACCAGTGACCCCAAATACTTAAACTGCACTACTTTCTCAAAGTTAAAGGAGCCAATATTGATGGTCTCGCCTGGTCGAGGGACTTCTCCTGTGGCCATATATTTAGTTTTTCCTTCATTCACTTATAACCCAAGTGCTCTGGCGACCTCCAACAAAGCTAAAAATCCCTCTCTTATAGACTGCAACAACTGCCCCACGATGTCCACATCATCCACATAGGCTAATAGCTGAACCATCCGGCTGTAAATTGTCCCATTAGTTTGCAGACAAGAATCCCTCACCACCTTCTCAAGTGCCAAGTTAAACAGAAAGCATGCTAATGCATCACCTTGGCGAAGTCCTTTTATTGAGGAGAACTCTTCTATCCTTTGACCACCAACCTGCACAGTACATTTTACATCTTTTATCTTCTGCTCTGCAAAGAATAGAAGATGCTGGAACAGGATGTTAGATAAAATCTTATATCCAGAAGAGAGAAGAGAGATACTCCTGTAATTTTTACACTGGAGTTTGTCACATTTTTTAAAGATAGGGCATATAGCTGACTTATTCCAGTCTTCCGACAAAACCTCTTCCTCCCAAATGGTCAAGACTAAATTCTGGAACCTTTTAAACAGTTCCTCACCTTCGTTCTTGAAGAGTTCAGCAGGCAGGTCATCAGCTCCAGGTGCCTTATTATTCTTTAACCGATTAATGGCGTCCATTATGTTTTCATCATCAGGTGGATCAAGGCCTGATCCAGTGTCTGTTTCACAGGGGGCTGAGTTGAGAAGCTCATCAAAATGGCTTTTCCATTGTAATGGGATCTGATCCTTGCAGGCCACTATATTCCCATTCTTGTTTCTACAAGTTTCAGGTACTTTTCTTTAGAGAGGTCTTCTCTTCCTATTGATGATCTTGAAATGGTCCCTTAATTTTTTTTTTCTCCTTCCAGTATTTTTCGGTCCTCTCCAATTCATCCTTCTCTCTCTCTGTCTTTTCTTTCTTTGATGAAATCGTTTTTCCTCCCTCCTCCTCTTTTGATATTCCTCGACTGCTCTCCAAGTCCTTTTCAATAACATTCTTGTATGCTACATTCTTTATATTAGTGGCGCCTCACATTTTCTGTCAAACAATGATGTCCTCACCTCCCTTTTTCTCAGTCCTAGTACATTATTAGCAATTTCCTGTATTGTGGTCACACAGCTGGATCAGAGGGATTCTATGTTTTCCGTATTTACAGCCTGAGCACGGAGTTTATCATCTAGTTGCTCAGTGTACAGCTGTTTGGCAGGCTCCCGTAGCTTTCCAAGATTATAGTGCTTAGGTTTTATAGCTGAGTCTCCAAACCTTTTGAAGGAGATCCTAGGAGTAATATGGGTAATGCACAAAAAGTGGCCGGAATCCACATTGGCGCTTCGATATGTTCTCACGTTTTGGAGGCTGGACTTGTGCCTTTTATCGAAAAGGATATGATCTATTTGATTAACGTGTTCCCTATGTTGTCCAAGTGCATATATGAATATCCTTGTGTGCAAAAAGGGAACTTCCAATGATCATGTCCATGGAGGCAGCAAAATTAATAAGCCTAGTTCCATTATCATTAAATTGATCATGGAGACTATGTTTGCCTATGGTTGGAATTTATAAATCTTCTTTCCCTATTTTGACATTACAGTCTCCAGCAATTATTTTTATGTCATACCTTAAGCACTGATCAAGGATTCATTTGAGCTGTTCATAAAAGGCGTCCTTATCTTCCTCATTCAAAGTTTCTGTCTGAGCATGCGCACTAATAATACTATAATTATAAAACTTCCCATGAATCTTTAGCACACAGATACACAGGTTCACAGGCTTAAAGCCAATGACCAGTTGCCTATATTGCCCTCTAACAACAAATCCTACTCCATTTTCATGGAAGGTATCGCTGCAGCTATAATATATGGTGTGTCGTCTATTTTCAAGAGTATCCTGGTCAACCCATCTGATATCCTGGATGGCAACTATGTCCAGTTTGAAATGGTCAATTTTATCAAGGAGCAGTTTCAGTGCTCCGGTTCTATAGAGTGAAAGAATGTTCCAGTATCCGAGATTAAAAGTCCTATAGGGATTGCTGGGTTGTTCTATTTGTGGCGATCGATATCTGAGGCTGATTTTGGTTTCGGCGAAATATATGCTTCAGGTAGAGGGGCATCTAACTCTCACTCCGTACCCTAGTATACTATTGGGACTGCAACCTTGGTGCTTGTATACCTGCACCGCCGTCCGGGGAGGTGACTTTAGGGTGTGTAATGTATGTGACCTTAATATATTGAGTGGGGGGTGAGGGTAGTGCGCTGTAATTAGTGTAGATGTGTGAGTGTCAGTGTACTGTTCCTCTAAACTGGAGGGCCAGTGGCTATTTACGATTCCATACCATTCCTTTACTTAATGTTTTATTATTTTGTTCAAAATTTTAACTGAGTGATAACAAGTTGATCATTCTGATATGTATTTCTATGTTTGTCAGGTTATTTACTCTATTTTTAGTATGTAGTTATATTCCACAATAGTCCTTTCTATTGAATTTATCTCATAATTGTTACTATTTACCAAAATAGGAGTTTTTAAATTATTAGTTTTTATGGCGGTTATTGTTTTTAGTCTGAAGGTGGGATAATAAAGTGGATCCCGAAACGTCATAATAATAAAAAAAAATTTGAGAGGGAAACTGTTAATAATTTTTTTTTCATATATCTTATATTAACACATTTTGTTCTTTTTAAAAATCAAGAGAAGACTCTTGTAAACATATATTTTTTAAAACCGTAGAGATGGAAACTAAGTTGCAAAGGTTTATCTTTATTTGTTTCTTTATTAGTCTTTATAAATTTCAACTGTCTTAAGTTAAAAGATATTGTTTTATTTAAATAAAACTTTGATATTTCATAGTTAATTTATCTACTTCACAACGTTATAAACTGTTGTTTAACTAAATTAATCTTTGATTTCAGATGATGGTAAAACCTATAGGTTTGTTTATACCTCCTGCAGGAACTTCGTTACCTAGTTCAGGGACTGAATTGAATAAAGTAGATTTCTAAGTTTTTGTCAATAACTCACTAATGTAATATAATTACCTTTCTGTATAAAGAACTAATTGTTATATAAATTGCAGAACATTAAATTTTGTCAGTTAAGCATATTAACTGAAGGAACTGGTAAAAATAAGTGCCTAAATGATAGTTCGAAAAACTGCATGCATTGTTTGAATATTTAGTTAATCAGTTCATACCATTCTTCTTGATGAAGGAAAAAATAGCCAATCAGCCCACTTCCTGGACTTGTTTGTCCCACCTAATGGCGGGAAACTAACATAAAAATAAAAAACTAAGTATAGTATAGACATGATAATCCATAACCATACTATAAGGCAAAAATGATTCTTGAAACAGATAAAAAGTCATTTATATTTGAATTGCAAAGGATAAAATTCTTTGTCAACTGAGTACTTTTCAAATAAAAATAAATATAACTTTTTAACTGTTCTCTACTACTGTTCTCTGAAGCAAACAAATGAAAAAAAAAAATTGATTGACATATTTAAATTCTAGCTAGATTTTCTAGATAACTCTAAAAGGACATTTTCAACAAAAAATGTTGTCATTGCTTGTTTCTGAGATAATTCAATAACTCCATGGCTAAACTGTTATGTATTTTTCAACTGTTTTTTCTTTGGAAATAGATAATAGTATTTTAAGAGTTTAAAACAGTGGTGTCTGCATTATAAATGAAGGTATTTGACCTAGGATATGCATCATAGTTCAGTCAATAAATGCTGAAAAGAGGAATGTAGAGAGATATGAAAGGAACACAATTTTTGACCCCGCCACTTTGTTCATACTAGTTATAAGGTAAATATACTTAAAGTCTCCACTCCAAGGAGTGGGAAGCAAGTGGATTCTAGGGTTGATGGTTTAGTTAACCGTTTATCTGTAAATGAGCTTTTGGTAGAAGATTTGATAGACATTTTCTCAAATATCATCAAGAGATCTGATAATTATAATCCTTATCCAAGGTCAGTATATAAAAGTAAAAATCCATGGTTTGATAAGGATTGTTTCCATGCTAGAAGGATGTCATTTATAAGTTTAAAGTTACCTAAATGATCTTTAGGTAATATATCATTTCAAGATTGGCTTAAGCACTTTAAAACTCTGTAAAACCTTCTGTTAATCTCAAACAGAATTTTATACGTTGAACCTAATATTACTAATGCTATTTTAGATAGACCCTTCACTCTTGGTGAGTTTAAAGCGGGTTAGGGTAACTCCAAAAATAACAAGGCACCAGGAAGTGATAGGATCCCTTATAAATTTTACAAGTATGCTCCCAAATTCTTTTTAAATATTTTATTGGCTACATTTGTATTCAATTTTGTGGCTAATTTAGTAAGCTTTAATTTTGTATAGAACACCCTTGTCACTAAGACACATAACTATGCTCAATAACTATTGCGATATAACCTAGAAATTGAAAAAAAAAATTATGTTTTGGATGACCTTCAGTGCCACACTCCACTCCTAGGAGGGGGACTTTTAGTATGATCACTTTCTAATAAGTCTTACCAAAATAAAAAAAATTGTTCCTTTCATTTCTCTCTATAATAATTTTTTTTACTGGTCAAATTGAGGTTTTTTATCTCATTACTCTCAGGATGTCAATTTATAAAACTTTCCTGCTGTTCTACATATACTTGCATCATTCTTTAGTTAAACAAAATTTAGTAGTATCATTAGTGTTTATGAAGGTTCAGTTTTCAGTTTTTATTTATTAAATTGTATTTTTTGAAATTCATGAATTAATCTTTTTTTTTATGTACGTTTATTTATTTTTCCATTTTCTTAGAAATGAAAACTTGCCCAATTGTATTTTTGTAGTTCAGTAATATTACTTATAGCCATTTTCAAAAATTTTCTCTGGTGATTTCCCTCTATCATTAAATTGTTATAAATATTTTATAAAAAAGAGGAATAATAAATTGTTTCTAAACAAGTGGATTGTTAATGTTACCATTGTTCCTGTTATATTTTAATGAACCTTATTTAATATGATTAAACACTGATGTATTCTACGAAGGTTGCAAAACAAAAAAAAAATCCTTTTAATTTGAATAAACCAACATTCACTTCCTGTTTATGTTTTATTCTTCCATAATAGGTTTCGGTCATTAGAGCTTCATCAGACTGGTTTGCAATGGTTCTCCTCTCTTGCTTGCCAGTTGAGAATTTTTAAGTTGATTATCCTCAATTGACAAGCAAGAAAGGAAGACTATCACAAAATAGTCTGATTAAGGTTTAAGGACTGAAACTATTCGCCAAAGAATAAAAATATACTGGAACACGTATCTGTATTTAAACTGATCTACACCTATAACATGAAGCGATTCAATTCAAGAAACCCATTCCTAGAATTTTGGAAAAGCAATATTTAATACTTACAAGTAAAATGCCTTGGCTTATTGAATTTAAGAAAATGCAATTTATTGATATTGAGGGTTTCCTGCCATAAAGGCTCAATATCTACCAACACACAGCTTGATTGAAGTTTTGCCAATTTTTAAATTGTGGTTGCTAACAATTATATTTAATAGGACTTTTAATAGTTTTGTTAGGATTGAAAGTTTCTGAAACATTTTTTAAAAAACTTTTAGACAGTTCCGATGTAACTTTTTTTCAGAAATGTTTTAAAATAAAAGTTCTAAAGATCTTGTTTTAATTAAGTTTTGGTTTTATTGGTAAAGTTTCACTTTTATTTATTTAAGTATGTAAAAAAAAAAGTTACAATAAATGAGAAATAAGCAGTCATTGGGCATAGATTTCAGACATAATTATCTTGTTATTCAAGATAATTATTTTAATTATCTAATTTTCATATAAAGAATCTACTGCACAAAACTACATTTTTTGACAAAATGAATTGCTTTAAAAAAACTTCTCAGTAAAAGTTTTAAAAATAAAAGTTCTATAAAACCTTTAATTAAAACTTTCCATGGGAAAACTTATAGTTTTGAAATAACACAAAAACTATCAAAATTATAGTTCTAGTCATATCGGAACTAATTAAAAATAAAAATTAAGTTTTCATTTCCTTTTTTTCATTTTCCAGGACTGAAAAGTATACTATTAATTTCAGTATATATATATATATATATATATATATATATATATATATATATATATATATATATATATATATATATATATATATATTAATTTATGCATTATGATTCATGAACCCTTTAAAAATCAGTCAGTATCAGCTGACTTTTTGACACACATAAGAAATTTAAAGTTTATAATATTGTATTTTAAAACTAATTGTAATAGTATACTACATTAAACATGAAAGGATAAAAAGTTTGTTCAAATTATGGGTGATAGATAGGACACTGTCACTTTTTAAAAATTTTTATTTTGATTTTTTTTTTTGAAATCTTAAAAAAAAAGGATTGTCTTCTGACTATTTCTTACCCATGATACATAGAACAGTTGATTAACTTCCTTCAATAATATTGTCATTTACCTGCCTTTTTTTTTTTTTTATACTACTTCTCATGAGTCTCATTGATGATCATCATGATCAAAGTCATCTTTTTCCATAGTTTGTCCATTTTGAGGTATTAAAATCTGTGAGTATAAAACACTTCTTTAATCCATTCTTTGAAGTTTTTACAAAATTTAAAGGCACATTCAGCCTTGACAATATATTTCATAAAAGTTAAACGACTCAAAATTAATATTCTAAATCTTAGTAAATACAATAGCCACATCCATAAAAATTTGATACTGCTCCATAAAAATTGGCCAATTGGTCAATGCACTCATAAGAATGAGAATAGCCATAAGGCAGGAAGCAGGGGCTAAAAATGAATTTTTTCTGGAAGGAGCAAGCTCAGTTTGCTGTCCTTTCTTACCGTCAAGCCAATAATAGTCAACATTTATAAAATATTTTAGGTAATATATTTCAGAATAAATATCATCATCTCATGATATTAACTCATTTTATTGACTGAGTTAAGATCAAAACAACCAATAAGCTTGAAATTCAATACCCAATACCATCTGAATTCTACTAAACAGTGTAAGTGTCTCCTTTGCTCCTCTCTAGTTCTGAGCCTGCAGGAAGTCTTCCGTTTCATAATTAAATCATCGAATAGTATATCAGAAAGGTTAAATGAATTTCTGGGTCTTAGGAATCCAGGACTAATTGTCCAGTTCTTAAGATTTTGGCCAATGAATCCATTTATAATGAATTAAGTACATATTTTCATTATAATTTATTTTTTTTTTTACAAAAAATATTTAGTTATTTTTATTTTTTGCAAATATATATTGTTCTAATTTGTTATAATAATAAATTAATATTTCTTTCTTTACAATTTTTTTATTTAAATTTTTATTTTTGAATATTTAAATTTGAGTGGAGTGCTTGAAGTTTCGGTCACTGTGAACACTGTGGGGTCCAATAAACGACATCAGTACATATAATCATTCCATAAACATCAGTACATAATTACAATTTCTCTTATTCAGTGAATGTAATCTTTAACTGATTTAATTAAAATGATCAATAAAATTAATAAATGAATTTAAGTCCTGCTTGTCTAGAGATATGGTCCACTTGGGAAAGAGACCATATGTTATTCTCAACTGATCATAGGCAAGAGTTTACTATAAAATAAATAAATTAGCTTCTATAGTTATATGTTCATAAATATAATTCCTCTTACCTTATCACATTTTTTTTATTAAATATGGATCTAAATGCAAATATTATCAGGAAATAAAAATTATTGAAAATAAATACACATTATAGAAATTGTTTAATATAAAATAAAATTTAAGAGAAATTGTTAACATAAAATCCAGATTATAATTTGATGATTGTAAGACAAGATATGCAAATGAAGGCAAAACATATCAATGTATAAAAAAGTGAAAAAAAAAAACTAGAAAAAATAAATTTTGCCATCACTGTTAAGAAGTTCCGTTTTTACATCAAGTTTTTCGTTATTGCTGGCTATTTAATAACAAATGACTGTTGATTTTCAACATTAGTTTGAACAACTTGAAAATATTCACTTTACTGGTATTTTTTATTTCCAAGACCAATTATTTAAAAAAAAAAAAATAAGTTTTATTATTCTCTGACTATCCAGCTTTAATAAAAGACCAATTATGATGAAATTAGGCCAACTGCTGAATATCAGTGACCGAAAAACTAATTCAAGTCAAAGTCGTCACTCCGCCATTTTGGGACAGCCATTTTTTTAATATTTAGTTACAAGGAACACAACGATATGCAATTTCTAATGATGTGAAGGGAGGGGGGTCTGGTTCACAGACTGAATAAATATTTACTTCACTGACTCATATCAGACAGGTTATTGAAGATAAAAGACAACTGCACATGATCAAACATGGAAAATAAAATTTTCTAAAATTTGAAAACCTGTATTTCGTAAACAATTTTATTTACTGAGCCTGTTCTGGTCTTAAATTGTAGCATATTGTATCTAGTTAAACATATATACAATGTTTTTTGTCGAAAACGTGCTCCTTCATGGGGAAAAACTGAAAAAAAATTGTTAGGAATATTCAAAACTGATCCGGTGGGACGCCGAGGTCGAAAACTTGGATTTTCCATCTCATTCACATCCACAGGCGGATTTACGGGGGAGGCTTTCGGGCTGAAGCCTCCCCCCTCAGAATGGTAAAATATAACCATGTTTTACAGAAAAAATATTAAAAACTATCTCTTAAAGTATTCTTGTTCGTGTAATTACATATAATAGGACTTCAAGAACCACTTAAACACCATCTGATATAGGTAGTTAATTTCTTTCTTTTTTTCTAATTAATTATCATTATATGTATATGAAAAAAAAATCTTTCGGGCTGAAGCCCCCCCCCCATAAATTAAATCCTGGATCCGCTAGTGTTCACATCCCATAAACGAAAATAAAAAGGAACCTTCTATCCTCATTCTATGCAACTTACGATGTACAAGGTTATTGGGCTATTATTAATGACGTAATTGAACATAAGAATGGTTGGGGTGATCAGTAAAAATGAATAATTATTTTTATTTTTGTCAACGTTTCTACCAAAAGTTCAGGGCTAAGAAAAAAACAGATAACAATAGCTATGAGAAACTATAAACATTGAATAATAAAGAATTAAAATTAAAAAGATGGAAGGTATAGAGTAAAAAATGTAGTTAATAAACTTAAATTGAAATAAAGTAGATAGAGTGAACAATAAAGCAAAATAAAGTATGTAGAATAATAACAGTAACAGAGAACTAAGAGTTAAATAATAACGGCAACAAAGTAGGGACTAATGAAATAAACATAATAAAAATTAGGCAACATAAGAAATGAAAAATGAACTAACAACGAAAAGTAGTGGAATGTATGCTAAAAAGAACTGAGATAATCATAGAATAAAATGTAAAACAGAGAAAAGGAATATGAAGTTATATAAGGAAACAATAGATATAAATAGAAAATTGAGATATTCTAAAATCTATTAAAATATGACTACTAAAACTAAAATCTATCAACAGGACTACTAGTCTGTTGTCATGTCTTCTATCACATATTATCAATTAAATGAAATTAATTTCAATCTAAACTTCATATCATTATCACGAAATTCCCCATTGATTGATATCGAATTCTGTTATCAATGACTTATAAGAATCATCAAAAGACTTTGAATATTAATTTGAAGGAACGAAAAAAAAAAAACGAAAATTAATTAAACTTCAAAAAGGTATCGGCTACTATGAACAACATCAATTTTGGCTTAAAGTTAAAATACAATGAATATAATCTCATAAATATCTCTGTAACCATTGATTTTATAATATATATATATATATATATATATATATATATATATATATATATATATATATATAGTATCATTTCTATAGAAATGTTAATATTGTGCTGAACAATCTTTGCGGAAAAAAAACTTACACTTTTT